GTTGATATACCGTACATACGGCTGTGTTTTATGATTGACTCACCTGTCCATACACTTCCTGGACACGAAAGAATTTGCTTACAGATGAGCTGTACGACATTAATTCAATCAGCACCATCGCAGGATAGGATTCCGTGACAATGACTTGATCATGATGAAATTTCACATACCTGTTGATTGACAGAATAACTCATAACATTCGGAGAATATCCAGCACAGACATGTATAACAACTAAAGGACAATGAAAAGTGTCTGTGTTGCCTTGGGACCATACAAAGATTCTGTTATAATGCCTTTGAAGAGTTGAGGGATAAAAACTAATTACTGGTATTAGCCATACTGATGGTCTCTGGCAATATTTAAAAGAAAAGTTCACCTTTTAGACAAAAATAATTAATGCACATTTTTTTTGCAGGTAAAAAAAATGTGCATTAATTATTTTTGTCTACAGGAGCCTGGAAAGCATTGCACTAGCAATCAGTAGATCACTTCTGCAGACCTGTCAGAATATCTGCTTGCCATTCGGGATATACGAGAAAGCAGACATTCTGACAGGAAGTTTCAATGAACTACCATGGCGCTCCACTGCGCCATGGTAGTTCATTGAAAACTATAAGCTGACAGGAACTAAGGCTGTCGGGACTTGCAGGTCATTAATTCACAGAAGTCCGTGAATGAATGATACAGCCGTGTGGGCGGAGCCCCGCACAACCATGCTGTTTTCAAATTTGACAGATAGTACAGGGAAACTTTTCCCCGTACTGTCAAAGGGAGAGAGGCAGTGGCTGCAGCTATGGGAACAAGTTACACGTTCAACGCCATAAAAACGGGGGGAACATGTAACATGTTCCCAAAGGTAAACTTATCCTTTAACCACTTGCCCTCCTGAGGATTTACCCCCCTTCTTGACCAGGCCATTTTTTGCATTACAGCGCTGCGTTACTTTAACTGACTATTGTGTGGTCATGCAACGCTGCACCCAAATTAAATTTTTTTTTTTTTTCCCACGAATTCAGCTTTCTTTTGGTGGTATTTGATTGCCTGTGCGTTTTTTATTTTTTGCACTTTAATAGCAAAAAATTCAAAAATATTGTTGTTTTTTTTTTTAAACATGTCCAGTAAAAAAATGTAAAAAATCAAATTTCATCATAAATTTAGGCCAAAATGTATTCTGCTACAGGTCTTTGCTACAACAAAATCCCAATACGTGTAAATTAATTGGTTTACATGAAAGTTATAGTGTTTACAAATGGCAGTAAACAGTGAGGAAGAGAAGTATTTGAACACCCTGCGATTTTGTTCTCCCACTTAGAAATCATGGAGGGGTCTGAAATGCACATTGTAGGTGCATTCCCACTCTGAGAGACAGAGTTTAAAAAAATTCAGGAAATCACATTGTATGATTTTTAAAGAATTTATTTGTCTTGCACTGCTGGACATAAGTATTTGAACACCTGAGAAAATCAGTGTTAACATTTGGTACAGAAGCCTTTGTTTGCAATTACAGAGGTCAAACATTTCCTGTAGTTCTTGACCTGGTTTGCACACACTGCAACAGGGATTTTGGCCCACTCCTCCACACCGATCTCCTCTGGAACTGTCAGGTTTCGGGGCTGTCACTGAGCAACTGACACTGTACTAATGGCACTGGGCAGGAAGGAGTTAACATGAGGGGCGATCAAAGGATTAATTGTGTGCTGGGTGTGTTTTACTATGGGACTATGTCTGTGTGCTTCACTGTGAGCACACTGCTTTGCATGGCTGTGCACAGCCATCCAAAACAGCATGCCTGAGCTGACAGGAAGGAGTAAACAAAAACAGTTTTCCTCGGAGATCCTCGGTAATCACCGGGGCTGGCGAGTACTCACCAGCCAGGACCCAGTGACTGACAGCCACAGCCGCGCCCCCCCTACCCGGGATATATATATATATCGCGTATTTATACACATGATTTTGCGCACCCGTGCCGCCCTGTAGCAGTATTTTCTGCTATAGGGCGGTTGGGAAGCAATTAAGTGGGTGAACATACAGGAGTTGGACAAAATAAATGGAAACACTACATGATTTGCAGGTGTGAACGAGTGACTAAATGTTTCACGTTGAAAGCGGAAGTGATGTAACATTCTTTTGCTTCCACTTTGTGATGAGACACCTCGCTTACAGGTGGAAAGTCTCACTTTTGTCATTCACTGCCAGCACTACTAGTAATACGGAGTCACATCAGAGCTTACTGAGCTTCAAAGAGGGCAATTGTTGGTGCGGCTTAGCTGGTGCCTCTGTGACTGAAGTTGCCAATTTATTTGCCATGTAGCAAGGTTCAGTATCAAAGGTTATGACGGCATATACAGTTTCAGAGACAATGTCATCCGATAAGCATATGCGTGGTTGACGTAGTCAACTGACCAGAAGAGACAAAAGAACACTGTGCAGGATTGTGACCCAGAATAAGAAACAACTGCTGCAAAAGTGATTGCAGAGCTCAATCTCAGTCCCATGAAGACTGAAATTGAGCCCTGCTGTCTGTTTTGCAGCTGTTGTTTTTAATTATTATTTTTTTACATCATTTATTTTCTAACACGTTCCTATCCAGCATACAGCAGATTGACGGCTGAGCTGACGTTCCTCCTTCTGAGTGGGCGTCATGTGACGTCCTCGCAGAATGCGCCGCTCACACGGCTGTGGGGCCACGCAGCAGTGCAATCTGTCACCAGCTGTGTCCACCGGACACAGCCGATGACTGATCATTACACCAGCCATCTGCCAGTGTCATCCATTGTACACAATTGTATTGTTGGCTGTGATTGGTCACAGCGATCACATGGTACAGACAGGGCCAATCACAGCTTTGGCCAATCACAGCTAATCACAATTTAAGACACTGAATGAACCAGTTTCATTCAGTAAAAATGGTTTCTCATATCAATGAAATACATTGGTATAAGCCAGCAATGGGCAAACTACGGCCCGCGGGCCGTATACGGCCCGGCGGACCTTTTAATCCAGCCCGCGGAGCTAGGCTCCTCTCACAGTCCGCCCTGAAGACCGGTGTAGCATGAAAATCTGTCTCCTATGAGGATCTGTCCCCCTCGACGTATCTGCGCATGTGCCGGAGATCGCCGATCGGCTGCTAATGCCTGAAACTGGCACATGCGCAGATACGTCGAGGGGGACAGATCTCATAGGAGACAGATTTTCATGCTACACCGGAACGGCGCGGGACACGGCGAGAGGAAAGGTAAGTGAATTGACACAGGGGGGACTTGGGGACTTAATATGGGGAATGAATTACTATATGGGGGATGAATTACTATAGGGGGGATTAATTACTATATGGGGGATGAATTACTATATGAGGGATGAATTACTATGGGGAATGAATTACTATATGGGGGATGAATTACTATGGGGGATGAATTACTATGGGGGATGAATTACTATATGGGGGATGAATTACTATAGGGGGGATGAATTACTATAGGGGGGATGAATTACTATAGGGGGGATGAATTACTATATGGGGGATGAATTACTATAGGGGGGATGAATTACTATATGGGGGATGAATTACTATAGGGGGGATGAATTACTATAGGGGGGATGAATTACTATATGGGGGATGAATTACTATGGGGGATGAATTACTATATGGGGGATGAATTACTATATGGGGGATGAATTACTATAGGGGTGTGAATTACTATAGGGGGGATGAATTACTATAGGGGGGATGAATTACTATAGGGGGGATGAATTACTATATGGGGGATGAATTACTATGGGGGATGAATTACTATATGGGGGATGAATTACTATATGGGGGATGAATTACTATGGGGGATGAATTACTATATGGGGGGTGAATTACTATGGGGGGTGAATTACTATGGGGGGATGAATTACTATATGGGGGATGAATTACTATATGGGGGATGAATTACTATATGGGGGATGAATTACTATGGGGGATGAATTACTATATGGGGGATTAATTACTATGGGGGAATATTACTATACTTACTATGGATGACACATACACATCATTCATCTATTCTTGGTCCGGCCCCCGGGTCCAATATATGAACCCATTGCGGCCCTCAAGTCAAAAAGTTTGCCCACCCCTGGTATAAGCAATCAAAATGTGTAAAAAAAAAAAATCCTGATTACTTCCCCATAGTACAGTATTATGGTAAAACTGTATTGCTCTGGTCACGGTGTGTTAAAAAAAAATCATAAAAAATAGAAAAAACAATGTAATAAAAAATAAAAGTAAAAGAAAAAAAATATGATTAATATTTTTTTTTTACACACTGTCACCTGTCAATCTCCTTGATCACCGCTACACCAATTATACCATAATGCTGTATTGGACTGTGAAAAGTTTTTTTTTTTTTTTTTTTATTCATTTTCCAAAAATTTCTGACAAAAAAAATTACAGCTTCACAAAACTCACCATGCCTCTTACTAAATACCTTGGACTATTTTCCAAAAAGGGGTCATTTAGGGGGTATTTGTACTATCCTGGCAATTTATGGCCTTAAGAAATAAGGCCGTCAGTACAACAGGATTGATGGATTTTCAGATATATACCATAGTTTGTGAACTCTATAACTTTCCTACAGACTTCATAATATACACTGATTTGGGTTATTTTCAACAAAGAAATGTAGCAGAATACAGTTTGACCTAAATTTATGAAGAAAGATTATTTATTTGCAAAATTTTATAACAGAAATTAACAAAAACTTGTTTATTAACTTGCTGCCGACCGCAGATAGCCGAATGACGGCTGCACTGCGGTCGGCCAGTTCTGAGTGGACGTCATATGACGTCCCCCCAGAACGCGCTCTCCTGCGTGCCCCAGGGGGCGCGCACCCGGCGATCTCCGTGATCGCTGTGTCCTACGGACACATCTGATCACGTGATGTGGTAAAAGGCCAATCACAGCAGCCTTTTACCACCTGATCAGCGGTGTCCAATGACACGCTGATCAGAGGGAAATGCAAGTGCCGGTTCTCGGCTGCACTTTCCTCACGCTGTCAGATCGTGAGGAAAGTACTGCCGAGAACCGGCAGTTGTCAGAGCGGGGAACGGCACCGATCATCAGGGCACTGATGATCAGTGCCCTGATGATCGGTGCCCAGCAGTGCCACCCGCAAGTTCCGCCCACCTGTGCCCTGCAGTGCGCCCACTAGCTCCGCCCACCTGTGCCCAGCAGTGCACCCACCTGTGCCCAGCAATGCACCCACCTGTGCCACTCTGCAATTTCACACACCTGTGCCCAGAAGTGCCACCTACCTGTGCCCAGCAGTGCCACCCACCTGTGCCCACCCACCTGTGCCCACCAGTGCCACCCACCTGTGCCCACCCACCAGTGCTGCCCACCAGTGCCACCCACCAGTGCAGCCCAGCAGTGCTGCCAGTCAGTGCCACCAGTCAGTGCCCAGCGGTTGTGCCAGTCAGTGCCGCCAGTCAGTGCCCAGCAGTGATGCCAGTCAGTGCCGTCTATCAGTACCCATCATTAGTGTCACCTATCAGTGCCGCCTATCAGTGCTGCATATTAGTGCCGCCTATCCGTGACACCTCATTAGTGCTGTCTATCAGTGCCGGCTATCCGTGCCACCTCATTAGTACTGCCTATCAGTGCCCTTTAGTGCTGCCTATCAGTGCCCATTAGTGCCGCCTATCAGTGCCCATCAGTGCTGCCTCATCAACGCACATCAGTGAAGGAGAAAAATTACCTGTTTGAAAAATTTTATAATAGAAACAAAGAAACTTTTTTTTTTTTTTTTTTTAATTTTTGGCAATTTTTTATTTATAGCGCAAAAAGTAAAGCGCCCAGTGGCGATTAAATACCACCAAAAGAAAGCTCTATTTGTGAGAAAAAAATGATCAAAATTTCATATGGGTACAATGTTGCATGACCGCGCAATTGTCAATCAAAGTGCGGCAGCGCTGAAAGCTGAAAATTGGCCTGGTAAATAAGGGGGTATAAGTGCCTGGTAGGCAAGTGGTTAAATACCACCAAAAGAAAGCTCTATTTATGCGGAAAAAAATGATAAAAATTTCATATGAGTACAGTGTTGCATGACCGGGCAATTGTCATTCAAAGTGCAACAGCGCTGGAGGCTGAAAATTGGCCTGGGCAGGAAGGGGGTGAAAGTGCCTGGTTTTGAAGTGGTTAAACCAGAATTCAGTGTCACTTTAAATTCCTGCCCATCCTGATATATTCAAATATGCACTGGCAGAACTTAGTTTGGCAGAAGATGTTCTGGTATTTGACAGTAGAACAACAAAAAGAGAGACTAAGTTTTAGAAAAGAAGAAGTTTTATCTCAGCTTGTGCAGGGGTTGAGACCCCATGTACAGTCTGGATCTAGAACCCAAGGGATTGAACTGGGATTGACTTGACTAATGCTAAGGTGTTGGCACTGCAGCATGAATATCACTTTGGAAACATTTTAAACCTGGCTCATTTAAATGATCTTTAAGGACTGTGAAATCCAATACAAATTTCAGGCACTTACATCCTTACTATTAAAAAAAAAAAAAAAAAAAAAAAAAAAAAAGGGAGTAGAGTGAACCTGCACCAGTCAAGAAACGGGTATATTCATCTAGTAAAAAGAATAATGATTACAAACATACTGCTTAGATTAGAAATTATTAGACGGTTACCCAGCTTTAATGTCCTGTAAACATGCCAGGGCCTTGTCCATGAGGACATGCAGTTGTTCCGCAGTGCTCCCCTGCCGCAGACTGTCCAAAATAATGTCAAGATTGGCTTCTCTTTTCTGTGTGTGGAAATGACAGGTAAATCAGTATGCTGGGAATATTATCAGCGTTATACAAATTGTAATGATCCACAACAACCAATCAGAAATCATCTTCTGCTGATCTGCAATGGAGCAAATAAGAAATCTGATTGCTCTTCCTAATTCTTTGTTATAGGTGCCTGCTCTTGTTTATTATAAAAGGGTAGGAAACCCCCCCCCCCACTTTGTATTTGAAAACCCCCCCAAAAAAACAGAAAGTAAGCGGAGCCAGTACAAATCACAGAGATGTAGATATCATTAACCAAAACTGCATTAAAGTGATTGTAGCCCCCCCCCCCCCTCCTTTTTTTTTAAATTTTAATAAAAATATGTTACACTTACTGGCTCGGCCCTGCCCAACATTCTCCTCACTGGCTGTGATTGACAGCAGCGAGAGCCAATGGCTCCCTCTGCTGTCTCTGAGCCTATGATAAGGGAGAGCCGAGAGAGATGCTGCTCCTGTGTACAGATTAAAGGAGGGTGGGGGGGAGCTGCAATCAGAAGGCTTTTTACCTTAATGCAGAGAATGCATTAAGGTAAACAACCTTCAGACTTTAGAACTACTTTAACTTGCCTTGTTAATCACATCAACCAATTAGGCTACAGCTCTTATATACTTATATAAATACATTTTAAATTAGTTTTCACAATACAAAGGTACAAATGTAAACCAAAACGAATACATGAAATAAACACACCTCATAACACAGTTTGAAGGAGGACCACGAGAAAAAAAGAAGAATGGATGCGTCAACAGTAAGGCCCAACAGTAGGATGTAGAGGTACTAAATAGTGCAAAATGAGAGACCTCACACCTGAGAAATCAAGGTATACCCAATTAACTAAATATCTAGTATGGTAGACAATACGGAAAAGTGGTCAAAAAGTATGGGAGAAAAAGACAGGTGCTTAACACCGTGTTGGAGGTCCAAGGTCAAGCAAAAAAAGTGTGTGGGGGGGGGGATGGGTAATGGAGGGTTGGTGGAAAGGGGAGAGGGGGTAGGGTGCGTAGAGATGGGTAAGAATACAGAGGGGAAGGGGGGAAGGTGATGGAGGAGGGAAAATCACACACCTGGGATGCTACGCCACAGTAATGGGGAGGAGGGTAATCCCCTCTTGTTATCCAAAATCACACATTCCTGCACTGTAGGAGTAAAAATAACAGATGCAATGCCCAACTGGGCTGTGAGTAATCCATCCACAGAGTCCACATTTTCAAAAATAGGTCATGTTTGTCCTCCACTGTGGCTGTCAATTTTAATTTGATCATCGCACCATCAAACAGATTTTAACTTCCTGAAAACTCAGAGCAGGGGACTTCCATGAATGAGCAATAGTTTGTTTGGTGGCATTAAAAATGAAACCAATTAGTTTTGCTGCTTATCAGCATACAGCCTGAAAGGGCTTATTTGACATGGCCTTGGATGGATCTTTCACTGGAGGACCGTGTTTATTAGTGTGTAAAATCTAATCCACAACCACCAGTCCACCATATATGTACCATTGCTCCCTCCCTTCTACACCCCCTAAAGCAGAATGGAAAATGTCTGGGGACATATTTGGATATGCAAGCGAGGGTTAGGTACCAGCCTGTTAAAACTTTATAAGAGTTTTCCAACGCTAATACATTTCTATAGCTGGAAGCCATAGAAGACCAAATATCCCTCCAGTCCTCCTCCGGAATGACCACACCTAGCTCTTCCTCCCAAGGTGGCAAATACTCAAAGGCCACTTCATTAGGTACACCTTGCTAGTGTCAAATATTCCCCATACCATTACACCACCATCACCACCAGCCTGAACCATTGATACAAGGCAGGGTGGATCCATGCTTTCATGTTGTTTACGCCAAATTCTGACCCTACTATCTGAATGTTGCAGCTGAACCAGCCTGCCCATTCTCCTCTGACAATATCAAGGCATTTTTGCCCACACAACTGCCGCTCACTAGATATTTTCTCTTTTTTGGACCATTCTCTGTAAACCCTAGATATGCTGGTGCATGAAAATCCCAGTAGAACCCCCGTTTTTGAAATACTTAGATCAGCCTGTCTGGCACTAACAACCATGCCACGCTCAAAGTCACTTAAATCCCCTTTCTTCCCCATTCTGATGCTCTGTTTGAGCTTCAGCAAGTAGTCTTCATCACGTCTAGATGCTTAAATGCATTGAGTTGCTGCCATATGATTAGCTGATTAGCAATTTGTGTTACCAAACAATTGAACAGGTGTGCTCAATAAAGTGGCTGGTGAGTGTATATTTTGCTTTTAGGCTACGTTTAGAGGAGTTTATGGATGCATATCGAAGCAAAATGAAGCTCGGAGAGTGAGGGTCAGAGTGACACTTCAAACCATGTGAGAACCGCTGGAGTGTTCTAGTTAACAGAAAAGTCTTTACAAAGTACCAGAGTTGTATGTAATTGCACATTTTTCTTGGAGGTGCCTCATGTTTTTCTTTAACCACTTTCCCTCCTGAGGATTTACCCCCCTTCCTGACCAGGCCATTTTTTGTAATACAGCACTGCGTTACTTTAACTGACAATTGCGTGGTCATGCAACGCACCCAAATGAAATTTCTGTCCTTTTTTTCCCACAAATAAAGCTTTCTTTCGGTGGTATTTGATCGCCTCTGCGTTCTAATTTTTTGCTCTAAAAACAAAAAAAGACCGACAATTTTGAAAGATTTTTTAAACATGTCAGTAAAAATTTTTAAAAAAATCAAATTTCATCATAAATTTAGGCCAAAATGTATTCTGCTACATGTCTTTGCTAAAATAAAATCCCAATACGTGTAAATTAATTGGTTTCCATGAACGTTATAGTGTTTACAAATGGCGGTATATATACACTGGAATTTTTTTTTTTCTAGTAATGGCGGCAATCAGCAACATATAGTGGGACTGTGGCAGGCATTCTGACACTGGGGGGAACTGACTTGGTGTCATTGACACCAATACAGTGATCAGCGCTAAAAAAATGCACTGACACTGTACTAATGGCACTGGGCAGGAAGGGGTTCACATCCATGGCGATCAAAGTGTTAACTGTGTGCTGTTTAACTGTGTGCTGTGTGTACGCTTTACACTGTAAGCACACTGCTTTGTAAGGCTCTGCTATGCAGAGCCATACAAAGCAGTGTGCAGGAGCTGACGGGAGAGATCTGTGTTATTTATACACAGGTCTCTCCTCCATCGGTGATATTCGCCAATCACCTGGTACTGGCAGGGAATCACCGTCTGGGACCCGGTGATTGACAGCCGAGGCCATGAATGGCAGCGTGGGTAGGGCGCATGTGCCCCCTACTCAGAACTGCAAAATCACATATATATATATATATATATATATATACACACACGTGATTTTGTTCAGCCATGCTGCCCTGTAGCAGTGATTCTTCTATGGGGTGTCGCAGAAGCGGTTAAAGTAGGAGGGATCGAACCCGGGGGGGGGGGGGGGGGGGACATCAGGCAGTGGATAAGATTTAAAAGTAACAAATGAGGTGAGATAAGACCACTCAAGTACTTAATGGATTCCCATAGTGTAAGGGAGTGCACTAA